AGTGCAGGTACTGAAGAGTTCGTTCCCTGAGTGGTGGCGATGTATGTACGCTATCTATGTATCGTAATGTACCGTAGGGGTGCGCACCACCCGCCCTGTGGGAAAGGAAAGTGAATATAAGGGGTCCCGAGGGGACGCCAGCAGCTTGGGAAGTTTTGACCTAATGTCGCGACTTGAGGTCAAGCGACTGAGGAAAAACCTAAATGCTGGGGGTGTCCGACTAAGTCTCACCGAAGCGATGGTGAGCTATGCTCAAACCTAAGGCTAGGGACAAGAAAGTATATTAGTTAGTATAAGTAAGTAAGCAGATACATGAACGCTTACTGACCTAGGGACAAGAGGTCGAAACTGAGGTCCCTAGGGCAGCAGAGGCCGGCTTATATACATGGGGAGATAAGGGCAGGCTGTGCACGCTGGTCCGTGTGCAGCTGGTCCGTGCGCAGCATGCCGACGCGGCCCCGGGGGCCGGTGAGTCAGAGCGGCTGTGTCAGCGGGGCCCGAGCTGTGCCGTGCGCTGCCGCCCCATCTAATCTAATCGTACAGTAGATAGTGACGCGTCCATATCAGGCAGGTAGTACAGAGATCGCGGGTTCGAGCCTGCGAAAAGGAAAAATTAAAAAACGGCTAGGCGCCGTACCAAGTCGTGACACCATATGTAAACACATGGTACAAGAAATCACATCTCAGATTGCAACAGATGATGGATTCTAAATTGATATCCTGCAACAAGCAGACACTAAAGTAGGGACAACCGGGGATGAATTCACGGAGATGAACCATCCCCCGGAAGCGGAGATTAAACCATCTCCCTCCTCGGGGGATGCTCCAAGCGCCCCCAATATTTCTGGTGGGCGCTTACTTCCCAAAACATTCTTGACGAGAATATACTATAATCACATAGAAGATTATGCTTATCAACTCGTACAAAGCAATGAAGTTGCGCTCTGATATGAAGAATCGTGAACTCATCGGATGGCTGGTTTTAGGAGCTTGACAATGACGTCCCTGACGTGATCAGAAAATCAATCTCCGACACAAGCCGTTGCAGCCGAGGTGTACACCAGCACTTGAGCTGGCCCTGAAGAAGGGACTCGGATTCGTTCAAGCTAGAAATCAAGGCAGGCATACGAGAACCTATGACCATAAAAAAGCACGAAGGTAGTCGAGTACTGTGGAGGGAGATACCATGAACCTGCCGACTTGGGGGGTCTGCCGACTACCCAAGACGGCATAGTATTACATTGTACGTACACCGCGTAATGTGTGAATGCTACGCTACAACGGTCTGCCAGAAGGCCCTGCGTCGGAGTGCCAGCCACGTTCCATTAGTAGCATTTGGACATGCGATGCCCTGGCATGATTCCCCGACGTCCATTCGACCGCCTCTACAACGTGCGGAAACCGACCTAAGAGCATTGGAAGCGACGGTCTTGTAGTTCAGGAAAGACTACTAGGCGATATGAGAAGGCGAACATCATGAATGGACACTCAAACGTAAGATCAGCTGTCAATTGGCACGATCATTTTCGAAAGGCAGCCGCAGTCCTTGACCTATGCGGATGCAATAGTGGTGGATGGCAACGAGCCATGAGCTGCAATCCCATGAGCGGAGCGTCACCATGGAATAGGCATCTATACTTGATGGAAGGGATATGCATAGCACCATGCCGTACAAGTGATGAGATTGTTCAATTTGAGGTTCCTATTGCGACCTTCTTGCTTCTAGTGGCCCGGCGGTAAATGGTGACGAAGAGCACGCAGGTGTTCATATTGATTGAGCGAAATGAGATGATGGTTGGCGCGAAAAAATGTCATGAGTTTGGTAACGAAGTTTGCCGCCTGACTGACTGACTCGACGTGTCCAAACATGAGGTCCTCCCGCTCATAATGACGGCGTGAGGGCGACTGTCTTTCATGCTTATCGACATTGTCATCCGAGGGATGGCTACTGCGACTGTCACGATGCTCAGAGCGCATGACGGTGGCATCCAGGCCAGAGGCTAAGGGGCTGGAAGCGGTATATTCGCCTACACAGCCTTTAGCAGGTGAACTCGCCGACACGTACATGCCCTGCACCAACGTCGCTGAACGAGGTGCGCCAGGTACATCGCCAGGTGAGGGCATCGATGGTGGCCGTGACTGATCAGACCCTGGAAGTTGATGTACTGGCCCCGCCACCGCGCCTGGAGAGCGAGCTACAGGAAGAGCTCTGGTGGAAGGGTCGACATGAATGGAAGGTGGATGTTCATCTCTGAGCGCGGATGTTGGTGTAGAAGTCAGTGAGACACCAAAGAAGAGAGGGTCATGGACGTCGACATCGATGGCTTGGCGATCTTCTCCAACGCTATCCCGCGATGGAGACTTGTCACTGCTGCACGATGCGTCAGACTGCTGTGGCGATGGAGAGCGGGAAATCGCAGCGGAATAGGCGTCGCGGTCCACGATCGGGAGATCCTGGACTCGTAACGGCCACTGCGCCCATTGATTGTCGCCATAGAATTCAGGAAGATCGTCCACCTGATCCGGAAGTGACGCCAGCAATCGATCAGATGGATAGTGGAAGCGGGATACATCCTCTGAGTCGAGGATGCCATGTAAGCTCAAGGATAGATGCCTCAGAATGGTTTCGCCCCCGTCACCGAATGTTCCGCGGCGGAGTCCACTGCGTCTTTTGAATTGCGTGATCCAGCTCGGGCTTGCCTTGAAGCTCGGAACACAGTCGGGGTGAAGCTCTTTGTTCTCCTCCGCGAGCAGGGACTGCACTTCGATGCGTAGCCGAGAATCTGTGATCACGACGCCAGTGGAGGCAATGTCTCTGAGAATATCTGTAAGGGCGCATTCAAAGCTTTTGGTGCGCTGGGAGTACCTGAAGCAGGGATTAGGGAGAACTTTACTAGAGAAAGTAAATCGCATACGTTTGCTTGTAAAACCTGGGACTTACGACCTTGTTTGGATGGAGCCATATTGATTGATGTTTGAGGATCTTACTGACACTGCTACGGCTGACGTTAAAGGCCGCGGCGATCTGGTCTTGCGTAGCGGCAGGATTCTCCTGTCTGTACAAACATATGTTGCGACGATCGAGACTGGAAATAGATGTTTTATTGTGTGGGGCACGCTTAATTCGGCTCCTCCGGCCTTCACATTTGACAGGAGTGGTCATCTTTGAGACGATAGATGAGTCAGTCCGCATCCCGGGGCTACGTGGAATACGATTTCAGTCGCCTGCTTCGAGTGCATGCGTCATGATAAGCGGGTGCGACTAACGTCCTAACCGACACACTAGGCCTATGCATAGCGATAGCAAGTGATTGGACTGCACAATGGACCACCTGGGAATCCTGTAAGTGAGATCAAGAGTTGCGACAGACGAGGGAATGCGATTACAACGAACAGTTTCACTAGTACTCCCTGGTGGATATGCTTCCGGTTCATGAAGCGACATCCGGATTAAAGCGAAAACTCGTAGTGCAGAGGTATGCCACTTGGCCCTCAGGATGGGTTCTCCGTTGATTTGAGCAGTTAACGATTACGAGTGAGAGTATATGGGTATGGATGTTTCAGAGAACACGATTTCAGTTCTTGAAGTTCAGCTCAAGACCGAGGGTGAGGAAGGGAGCTGATGATCAGGCAGGAGCAGGTCCCGTTATCCGGCGCCCGGATATGCCCCGGACATTCCCCGGCAGGGATAGCATTTCTGGATGGTGTCTGGTTCACGGCAAACTTCCGGATACTGCATTTCGGCCAGTCAGCATGCGCTTTCATCCGTGTTCGCGTATTAACCAGAGTCCAACACATCCTCCGAAACCGCTGTCCCTGCCGGAAGGTGTCCGGCGAATGTCCGCGCGCTGATGCTAGCTACTTCCTAAGCTACGGCCCCAGTTTTCGACCAGCGTCACGTGCAGGCCGTGGAAAAAGCGCAAATTATGCTTCAAAATCTCGCGGATATTATTTGAGGCAGACAATGAGAAATGCGAGGATGGGGAAATTTGCGGAAGTCACTGTTGCACACATTCATGTTCCTAAATCTGTAATAAATAATGAGGAGAAATTGAGGATAGATTTGTAGTGTACCGGAGGGCTGCTGAGGAAAAAGCGCGCTGTGTTCGGCAACGCCCCCTAGACGGGCGCTTCTCTCGAGTGCCCGCTCCGAAAGGATCAGTCCTTGGTCACAAGAAGTCACATATGCGTGATGTTAGTCGAAAGGTACTTGACCTCCCTTATCTGGATTGATTCTAAAATTCTAATTTCTAAGTTCTAACGCCCGAAGATCACGAGAATCGCGATCACGTGATGCATCTTCGTCGCGGTAGCGGTTGAAGCTAACGCGTCCGAAGCTCGAGCCCGAGCTTAACTGCAAAGCATCGAGCGGATCATAGCGTAAGCTACATGAATATTGGCAGTATCAATACAGTATGACATGAAAAGACAGTGGAATACAACGAGGAATCAACGTCAACATGATGATCGTCACAACGCCGGAACCTCCAGCTGTATCTCAGGTTCCCATACAGTTTGACCCAAATGAACCAGGGACATCACAAAGATCTGTACCTTCCCGACATGGTTTGATCCTGTCAAGTAATGGGGAGGTGTGCTTTGCCCTATAGCGTGTAATTGTCTGGATGTCTATGCGACTATTTCAGCGCAAGTATCTCTCAGTAAAATACTGCATTTACCGTCATTGCTACATTGAGCACGTTAGCAATCTCTATCAGTAGTGCTTGACGCGTAAGGCCAGCTGTGGGCACCGGTTTCCTCGTGGCTGCACATGGCGATGCCCCTGGCCACTACGTAGATGGTGTCAGAGGCGAACGATAATAACAATGTTTTACTCACCAAAAACACGATGTCTATGTGGCTTGAGCCCCAATCCCTGCGTATTTTGTCCAGGCCACAAGCAATTGAGACTTTGGTTAAACCATGGGCCACAGTGCGAACGTCTCCGATACACACGCCGTCGGCTTCACGTCCATCTTGCACTGACAACCGAATACTCTTGAGTCTCTTCTGTCCAGTGGTGCAAGCCTCGGAGATACGCCCAAGAGAGCTGCCAGGGTTCAGTTGAACACGTAGGGGCTGAACCAGCTGCAGAACCTCCGCGTCAAGAGGCTGTTCTTTCTTGACACGCTTGACGTCGACGGGCTCGTTGTCCTCTTGTTTAAGTGGTATGAACTTCCGCATGTTGATGTTCGCACCGGTGGTGGCGGCGGAGATGTTTGAGGAGAGTGCGTTGAGGCCTCAAACCAGAATGCGTAGGGCTTTATAGAGCACAGATGTCAAAGCACCCTGGTGGCCGAGTGCCAAAGCGGGATTGTACCGGCATGACAACAAAAAGGCGGAGCGGCAAAGCGCCACGATGGCCCATCAGGAAGACACAGACTGTGGCCCCGTTGATCTAAAAGTCAACGCAAATTCCCAGCCTTTCGTGGCGAGCGGCATCCTGGTCCGCAATAGTCGTAGTGACATCCAGGAAACTATAAGGGTAATCATATGAACAGGCAGGCATGAGCTTTATGGGTGCTACAATGGGCAAACGAGGACGCCGCCGTCATGCCACGAGGCGGGTCGCCGCCACGGCGTTCAGTAGCCACGTACATGCACCGAGCCACGAGCGGGGACTCCCGGAATATAGATACTTGCCTGCTCTCCCATCTCATATGCAGACTCAGATCCGTCATCCACGAAGCATGAAGCTGGGCCTTCCGACGGTGGCACGAACTCAAGAACTTGTGAGACCGGTATGAGCGCCCTAGATCGCGATCCTCGGTCCGCAGATGCATAGCATGTTCATGGAGCCGAGATGGTCTTGAGTGCCAACTTTGACTATTATTTCCCGAGTAATAAGTGCGATTCAGAGGTCAAGCGTTGGTACCAGGTATCCAGCATTGTTGCATTTTCTTGGGTACCTCAATTCCGTCTGTCCGTCTCCAGATGACCGAGAACAGTAGACGAGAAGGCAGGAATGATCACGCGTGTAGCATGTGAGCATTAGTTTCGTCACCCAAGCACAGTGGAAGCACAGTGGAGGGCGAATCGAAGGAAGACCAAGGTGCACACAACGCCCAATCGGCTCGAGCGCTACAGCTTACGTCTGCGTTTATCGGGAGTCGGCTTCGCCTCTAGGTGAAATAGGCCGGGATAATTAGCCTCGGTTAATTAACCCTTGCTAATTAGCGCTAATTAGCCGTAAATTTCACGAGGCCCGAAAAACAAAGGTTAAGTAGGGTTAAATAGGGTTAAGTGACCTGCGCTGATTTTGGACATGTTCCGGACGCAGTAGGAGTTCAGCCTTGCGGTTGTTATCCAGGGAGATCAGTAATCGTAGTTTCTGACCTCATCGACCTCAACGCGCCATTTCTGAAGGACCTTCTTGCTAACGAGCATCCTGAAGTACTGCATTGTGACTAGAGCATGTATTGAATTTGAAATCTGAAGGCCAGTGACGGACGGAACGAATAGTAGTAGCAGCTGCGTGCTGTCTAGGTATTCGGTCGCTGGGCGACTTAATGTTATATAAGGCTACTTTAGTGGCTATAAGTGCTCATTAGGCCATGTTTTATACTGGCTCATTAGCCGTAAATTACATAGGTTAATTTGACCCCTCACACAGGCCTAGGCTAATTAGCCGGTTAAGCAGGTCACTGTACCTATTTCACCATACCCTATTCGCCTCCAGGCTCGAGCTTGATCGCTCAATCCTCTAACACTTACCACTTTACCAACGGTCCATCATCAATCTGTGGGGCATACTCATAGATGCATCGTCACTGATAGGGTATGATGAAATAGCTACGGTGACCTGCATGACCGGCTAACTAGTCCAAGCCGGTGTGAGAGGTCAAATTATCCTGTTTTACGGCTAATTAATCGGTATAGAACATGACCTGATACAGCTGTTTTCACGAAAGATGTCATGTCAAACACAAACAAATTCTCGCTGAATGACCTTCTACTGAGAACACAAATATCTCGACAACTACTGAGTGTATCGTCTTCATTTTTGCTGCGCTGGCCTCGTCTCGTTGTTCTGCAGGACCTGGTACCAAAATCATTGTGAATTTCCAGCATCGAAATTTCGACATCTTCGGCACCCCCTCTAAAGTAAAACTGTTCCTGCTCGTGAAGACAACATCGGAAACTTGTAGGACAGGTATCCCTTGAACTTTATGGGTGTTATGGAGGGTCTGGTATGCTAGTGTTATGTCATTCGCAGTTGCTTCACTTTGTGTCCTTCACATTCTCGGGCGCAATCATCATGTGCTTCCTTACTCCTTTGCATGTCTCAGGCAACACACTTTGTTTGTTTCTATGGGTTATATCTCGACTTCGTATCCCTAAAGACCCCCTCTACTATGCATTCCGTCAGCAAATGTGCCCGCCGTCTGAAACCGTCTGAGACGTCTGACTACAGGCGTCTCAGGTGTCCAGACGTCAGATGGCATGATCTGATTTCATTAGATTCGGGTCTGAACTCATACAGTTTTCAGACCTGTCAGACCGTCAGACCTCAACTTCACAGGTCATTCAGACACTACAGATGCTACCATTTCTCCTATATCCCGGCTGTAGCCAACTACTCTAGACCTTACAAACATAAGAAAACTGTATACAAAGATATTGAATCCTGTATGCGGTATCATCAGGATGAGTAGTAGAACGAAGGCGGAGCAATGAGCAGGCGGGAGGAGAGGAGTATAGTACTCGAATAAGAAAATGATACAATATCGAAAGGCACAGCCCGGGCCGTACAGGGCACATTGATGCAATCGAAACAAGACCGCTGTCGATTGACAATTATGCCGCGATGTCCTATACATCGCATGTAAGTAACAAATATACATGAATTATGGACTCGGATACACACCTCGTCAGACTCCACATCAAAATAGAGGACAGAGGCCAGCGCCGCTGGGTTCCCGAGAATGGCTGAATCAGAGTCGGGATCCACACCGAATACCAGACCCCGTTTGCGCACGACCATTTCTGCCTTTGTGAGAATGGCATCCCAGGCGTCGTGGTCGAGTTCCTCGATTGACTTTCCGTAGAATGCGATCCTCGGAGCCCACGCATTCTCATTGAATCGATCAGCATTTGTCTTGACAATGTTGCCACTCTTCACCAGACTGTGGGCTCGCTCAGCCTACAACACCAACATCAGTGACTTTGATTGAATATAAATGTGAATATATGCTTACTGCGACCAATGCGAGGACGAGGGCACCCCGACAATACTTATCACATCCATTTATAGCCTCCTCTGTGACCTGAATGTGCGAGGCGAGAGTCTCTGCAATGATAGGGTGCTGGAAGCGACCATATCGTTTCTGATGATCATTAGAGAACATATACAAGCAAAACTCAATCCACTCACGATCAATAGTCCATCTGCATCATACTTGATGCACCGGTACAGGAACAGCGGTGTAGGTCCTGTGAGTGCCTTCTTGACATACTCGGTCCGCGCAGTAGCATCTGTAAGTTGTTCATCTTCCCAGTACTTGATGAGAGCACTGATTGTGGCCTTGTTGATCATAGAGCGCCAGTCGTACACCTTCTGCGTTGCCTGCAGAAGCGCTAATAAAATGGATTCTTCTGCAGATGGCAACAAATACTCACAAGTTTATACACAGCATCGTGGACCGAGATGCTGTACTGAACGTCCACGAACACATCGTCAAAGAAAGCCTGCAGGACATTGACAATATTGATATCCTGCTGTCGCGACTTGAGGTCAAGCGACTGGAGAAAACCTGAAAGCTGGGGGCGTTCGACTGATTCTCACCGAAGCGATGGTGAGCAACGCTCAAACCTAAGGCTAGGGACAAGAGGTCGAAACTGAGGTCCCTAGGGCAGCAGAGGCCGGCTTATATACATGGGGAGATAAGGGCAGGCTGTGCACGCTGGTCCGTGCGCAGCATGCTGACGTGGCCCCGGGGGCTGGTGTGTCACGACTTGGTACGGCGTCTAGCCATTTTTTAATTTTTTCCTTTTCGCGGGCTCGAACCCACGACCTCTGTACTACATGCCTGATATGGACGCATCATATCTACTGTACGATTAGATTAGATAGGACGGCAGTGCACGGCACAGCTCAGGCTCCACTGACACAGCTGCTCTGACTCACCGGCCCCCAGGGCCACGTCAGCATGCTGTGCACGGACCAGCTGCGCACGGACCAGTGCGCACAGCCTGCCCTTATCTCCCCATGTATATAAGCCGGCCTCTGCTGCCCTAGGGACCTCAGTTTTGACCTCTTGTCCCTAGGTCAGTAAGCCTCCATTTGTATTCTTTCTGACCTTGACTAACTAATACATTTTCTTGTCCCTAGCCTTAGGTTTGAGCCTAGCTCACCATTGCTTCGGTAAGATAAGTCGAACGCCCCCAGCATTCAGTTTTCCCCTGTCGCTCAACCCTAAGTCGCGACACTTCCGCTGGTCGAACTTCGAGAGGAGCGAGTGCTCGAGCGGCCTCTCAGCGGAGTCAGCGGTGAAGGCGCCAGAGGAAGTTCGGCAGGGGGGTCACGTACGTCAGGGACTGCTGACGCGGGGGCGAGCGCTGTCAGCGAGGTGGACCGAGTAGAATCCACGGACTCGGACTCCGAGACTCCTTCTTCACCTGCACCCTCCTCAGGCTCAGGCTCTGGCGCAGGGTCTGGAGGGAGATCTCCTCGTACTTGATCGGCGACAGTTTGAGGGAGGCGGGAGCTAGGGGAGACAGGACAAGAGTGCCGCGAGTGTCACGACTTGGTACAGCGTCTAGCCATTTTTTAATTTTTCCTTTTCGCGGGCTCGAACCCGCGACCTCTGTACTACATGCCTGATATGGACGCATCATATCTACTGTACGATTAGATTAGATGGGGCGGCAGCGCACGGCATAGCTTGGGCTTCGCTGACACAGCTGCTCTGACTCACCGGCCCCCGGGGCCGCGTCGGCATGCTGCGCACGGACCAGCTGCACACGGACCAGCGTGCACAGCCTGCCCTTATCTCCCCATGTATATAAGCCGGCCTCTGCTGCCCTAGGGACCTCAGTTTCGACCTCTTGTCCCTAGGTCAGTAAGCGTTCATGTATCTGCTTACTTACTTATACTAACTAATATACTTTCTTGTCCCTAGCCTTAGGTTTGAGCATAGCTCACCATCGCTTCGGTGAGACTTAGTCGGACACCCCCAGCATTTAGGTTTTTCCTCAGTCGCTTGACCTCAAGTCGCGACATTAGGTCAAAACTTCCCAAGCTGCTGGCGTCCCCTCGGGACCCCTTATATTCACTTTCCTTTCCCACAGGGCGGGTGGTGCGCACCCCTACGGTACATTACGATACATAGATAGCGTACATACATCGCCACCACTCAGGGAACGAACTCTTCAGTACCTGCACTTCAGTGGGCGGTACTTGTCCTCACGGACGCGTGGAC